TGAGGTTTCGGAGGTGGCATCCATGCTGGAGCGTCACGGTGCTTGTAGATTGGTGTCAGAGGGCAACCAGATTCGGTATGTGTTCTTTTCTCCATCTGTTGTCCTTGGCGTCGTTAAACGGTATGTTGAGGTTTTATTATGCGATGCTACACACCAGTTAAATTATGGGGATAGGTATTGTGGCATTGCATGTTCGTGGACGTTACTGGTCTAGGGATTTCTTTTTTCTACTCCCTTTTACCGGATGAGACGTCCTACAGCCATGGCCAAGCGGTGGAGCCGATGCGGGAAATGGTGCCAAGCAGCAGACATTGCCGTACGGTGGTGATGGATAAATGTGCAGCTCAGGTGAGGGCGTTTCATCGTTTCTATCCAAACGCAAAGATTGTGTTTTGCCGCTACCATGTGAAATGTGACATGACTCGACGGTGCGGTCGCTTACGTGGGATATCCGATGCTCGACGAATACAGTTACGCGCGTGGCTGCATAACCTGATCTACACTCGTGATGCTAGCCTGTTTGAAAGGTTATTGAACGCGGTGCGATTGGGTAATGCTGAATGCTACCGTTATTTGTGCGGAACATGGCTCCAATACGCGGACTCTTGGGCGGCTCACAGACAGAAGGATGTTGTGCTTCTCGGATGCTATACGACCAACAGGGTGGAGAATGAAAACAAACATCCTTGCTGGCTCTCTTCACTTGCATCGTTGATCGGGTCAACAGTTGCGTGCATGAACGGAACAGCATCACAGGTGGGCGTAGCATGAGCGCGGTTTCCATTCCATCGGAGGTGTCCGAAGTATCAGTCCTTCTGATGTCCCAAGGGCGATTGTAAATTAATTGTGGATGTTTGTGAGTATGTAATGTTCGTAGAAAGTAGAAGTCACGATTAAACTTCACACAATAATCTCCTCATTGGCAATAGGTCGCGCACCAAGCAGAAGTCATGTATTAAACTTGCGCACCTAATCGTCAGCCTTCGGTAACTCAGTGGTAGGACAACGGACCGGAAATTCGTTGGACCGGGGCTCGATTCCCCGTCGAGACTGATTATTGTGTGAAGTTTAGTCGTGACTTCTACTTTATACGAACAGTACGTACTCACAAACATCCACAATTAATTTACCATCACCCTTTGGACATCAGAAGGACAGATACTTCGGTCCATTGGGAAGTGACGAGTGAGTGAGCCAATCTGCAACACCAGGACAGATACTGTAAGCTCATTGGCAACACGTCGCGCACCAAGCAGAAGTCATGTATTAAACTTGCGCACCTAATCATCAGCCCTCGGTAGCTCAGTGGTAGAGCAGTGGACCGGAAATTCGTTGGACCGGGGTTCGATTCCCCGTCGAGGCAGATTATTGTGTGAAGTTTAATCGCGACTTTACTTCCTACTAATTGATTTTGCCAGATCTGCATTATGTCTGCATTCTGTGTGCAGATGTCGCCCGAACTGCCATCGATCGGCGTCCTCAGCGGCTCCAATCTCGGTCCATACGCTGCCTTCAAGGAGTCAAAGAGGCTTGTGTTGGCAACGTTCGACATTGCCTTCCATCTGCTTCGCTTTCTCCGTCCACCATGCATTTTTTATGCGGCGGAGCTCTCTCGTCAGTCGGCGTCGTAGTTTACGAAGCTTACTACTCTTCCACAAGTCACTGGGTACTGCCACATATGCAACAAATGCTGCATTCCTTTCCGACACCAATGCGCTAATCGTTGCATTATTCTCATCTAACCATTCGCGCCACTTACAGTTTGTGCACCAGATGGTCTTCTTGGCAGCAGCTGTCACCTGGTCGCGAATTTGCTGCCACAGGTCGCCCACTGTGGCTATGCAGTCCACATCACACAGGCGTGCAGTCGTCGTTTTATCTAGCTCCATCGTCTTCAGTTCCTAGTATGGGCTTGACCGCTCCATGGGTAAGTCCAACTTGCTATATCACTCGCACTCATTGCAAACCGATTGTTCGTAATCGTCAGGCCGCGAGTAGCACACAGTGAGAGCAGCTTGTCACCGTTCGCATTCGCTGAACAAATGCCGTGGGGCAGTTAAAATCTGTCCACACCGATGCATCACGCCCAACGCGCACGTTGAAATCACCCAGCAGAAATCGTCGGTCGCTCCTCAGCACAGACCGTATCAATGAGGATAGCTGAGTGTAGAATTAATCACACGTGCCATCAGGATAACACATGGTCGGACCGTATGTGCTTATAAAAGTGGCAAACTTACCTCTTCCGAGTCTTATGGGAACAGTCATCGGTCGCGCGCTGATGTCTTTTGCTTCACCCGCCTGGTGGGCATTTAGGCGATCGGATAATGTAAATCCGATCCCATGCTCACGTGGTGCTGCGAGGACGTTGCCCACCCAGTAGAAAGTATAGCCAACGCAAGCTTCTTGCAAGTTACCTTATTCATTGCGCTGGTTCTTGCTGAGCTCCGCAATATCGATGTTGTAGCCGACAAGTTCCATGCGATCAGTGTAGCGCGTCGCTCGGTGATTCACTCGAGTTCCGGTTTAGTGCGCACGTTCCAGTACCCTATGTTTACTGGTTTGCGCGCAGGCATACCATGGCATTCGTGGGTATTCGGACATCTGGTGGTGCTTGTGCTTCGGAGGTTTGCTTGTGGGACTTTGCCTTTGACTCAATAGCCTGACCCACAAGACTATGGTTGGTATGGAGGTTTGCTTGAGGGACTCCACCCAAAACCTTTAATTCGATAAGCTGATCCACAAGGCATCAGAGAGCAGATCCACCTCGGGGTTGTGATTGCAGAAACCCATTTGGATCTGGTTGAGTTCTGTCACACACAGCCTTTGAACATCTGGAACAAATCTCGGGTTTTGCGACCATAGTAGGATACGCATTTGCATTAGGCTTTTGGCAGGTTTGCACCAATTTGACCAAGAGCTGCGTGGCTTTAGACGGACAGTGGCAAACCATTGAGCACCTGGAGATGGCCTCCCACCATCAGAGATAATACGTGGCGCTCGTGTTCTACGCCAGTCGAGCTGTGGGTTTATAACCCGTACACCTGTTGTCTCCCATGGCTAGGTTTTAAGAGGAGCGGGTCATCGACCACTTCCTAACCTCGCCTTCTCTGGAGGTGCAATCTGCAATATTGCTGCAAATCAGCATTGATGTTGAAGTATTGGATACCACCTTCCGCTTCCGCTTTCTTGGGAGTGTGGTATCGACTGATCAGCAGCTACACAGTGAGCTTCGCACCCGCGTCTCGAAGCTAGCTGCGGCATTCGGGAAGCTAGAGTACCGAGTGTTTAATAACCACCAGCTTGCCGTTGACATGAAGCTGATGATCTATTAGTCCATGTTGCTTTTTGTTCTTCTATACGGGTATATACATGGTTGGTGGCATCCGATTTCGGATTTGCCTGTCACTGTGGCCAGCTACAGGACGCGTGTGCCTACATAGGGACCACACAGTTCAGCCCTCTTCCTGCACTGACTGTTCGAGAAGTTGGTGACGAAGCGGACATAGCATAGGATTATACCATCAAATTCCATCGCGTTTTAGGGATGCTGGGCGCAGGAAGAGACCTGAACTGTGGGAAAACAGACTTGGATGTTGCATCATAGTATTGCGCCGGCTCTCGCAACCCTCCTTGTCCGTATCACTCTAGACCAATATTACACTCCCCTTGTGCCCCATCGTATTCTCCGGACCTAACCTCTGCACTTTTTCTTGTTTTCCATTCTTAAAACCACGTTAAAAGGACCTCGTTTCCAAACCATAGAGGAGTTCAGGACAATGCGAAAAGAGACCTGTGCGCCATCCCAGAAAGTGCGTTCCAGGAAGCTTTCCAAAAATGGAAGCAATGTTGAACACAGTATATTGCCAGTAGAAGGGACTAAGTTGATGGGGAGGTGCTTAAAATATCCTGCAATGAGCAATAAAGATGTTATAGCAAAAGCTCGGTTTCTTTTTGAACACCCATCGTAGGCTCTTTCATTGTCTCTTTGGCACAAATCTGACTACAGCTTGTGTATATGCTGACTTCGGCGGCTGTAGCTCCCCAAGCGGCAGTCAGAGCGAAGTGCGACAAGTGGTAGTTTAAAGCATTGAGTTCCCTGCATCAGTCTGAACAAAACAATAAGACGACGAGCACTGCAACTTGGCACAATTTCATGTTATCTAATTACTTGCAAACTAACAGCATATATAGATCGCTTAAGGGAAGAAAACGATCGTGATTTGTACGTGATATATATGTATTGCTAGTTTGCAAGTAAACTGGTAACACAAAATCGTGCCATCTTGCAGTGCTCGTATTCCTATTGTCTTTTTATATCAAAATGGCAGTTTGTTGTCTATGCAAACCTCCACCTGCGCTAAGTGGCTGCGACTCGCACGCTCTGCCGGTTGCCTCGCAATTTCAAAAGTTCGGTTTCTTTTTGGACACCACTCGTACTCGTGGGCATCGGCCAGTCATCCTTATACATCATTTTTACCGATTTTACTTATCACGTATGGCTTCTGGAAAGGGACAATTATTTTTCTATGGCTAACTCGGAATTAAGTCCAGAAGAAGCACGTGAACATTAGTATCGCCATATTTTATCGATGAGAAAGGTAACTCAGTATGAGTTATTGATCTGCCAAATTACCCCAGTTTTATGCGACCGATCCATTGGTTGGTCGATAGTAAGCAGTGTGGCGTAAGTTACTGGTTGTTTATGCCCTAATATCGGTTGAACTTCGAGAAGTAACGTCAATTGTACCACCACTTTGGTGAAGCTTCCAATTCCTTCACCGAATAGGAGTAGACGGTGTTTGCTTGGATGATCCTACAAGGACTTTGCCGTAGGCTATACTGCGATCTGCTTGATGTACTCAACTGCAGTGCCTTCACCGACGGTGTCATGGTGCTGTCCGAATTTGCTAGGCCTGTATCTGCTTTCGTACACACGTTTTCATATTTTTTACGTTGGTACTCCTCAAAACTATTGCTTTTTTTCATCCCTTTGATAGGATAAAGATGACTGTCTCGTCAACATTTTATGTACACATGGTGACGGAATGAGGCAACTGGTCCTGGATGAGCTTGCATCCTCGATTGCAGGGGCTATAAAGGTGCGCGCATTACTAATGGTTCAGTGTATTGTCCGGTCAGCAATTTCAAGGGAAATTGGTCTTTGCGACCAGCCCTTCCAGGATCTTTGCAATATTGGATGCTAGCTTAGTCGAACGTGTGTTTTGGTGCATTTTATGCACTGAATTATTGCATCTCCATGGTACGACTGCAATAAGATCCTTGAGCTCCATTGGGTAGATGGACCATCTCTCTTATCCTCTGTGCGAACTTCGCTGAATAATATTGATTGGACGCATTATTTCCGTCATCGACACATTTGGCTTGACCAAATCCTCCCGGCGGGTCACAATTGTGACGATAAAAATTTACCACTGGATGTCAGACTATTCGTCAAGTTACGTCCAAAGTGGATGATTCGCTATACTAAGGTAAGAGTAATTTTCCCTTATTTCCTCTAGGCCGTTCATGAGACCACGGTTCGTTGTTTGACTCGCCCAATGATGGTCAACTTCTGTAATGATGCCGCACTAGAGGTACTGTCTACATATACCGCTTCAGGTGCTCGCAACTTCTTCAGGCTAACCTAATGGTCAGCAACGCAATGCTGTTCTTGCTTCTACCTCTGACCCGGTAATTTTCGCAAGATCTTACTCATCTTTCTGCCAGGAAACCTTTATCTCTGCGTGATTACATTCCACATCCTGGATTGCGTTCTACTTCAGCTTCTGCGTTGGTCAGGGACATAAAGGTTATTATTTTGTTGCACATAACTGCACCTGTTCTGCTCTATGATACTACTTTATTTGCTTTTTATGTGTTTATCCTGAACTTGTGTTGGTCTAGCCGTATCGTGTTAGTTCAGTAACGCCGTATGTGTGATAGGGCAGCTAATAGGTTAGATTCAACATAATATCAGCACTCTGTACATGAGAGGCGGATGTGATATACCCCTGCTTTTGTGCTGCGATGGAATTTAATTAGGTGGTCGTAAAAAGGAAAAGGAAAATACTAACATAAAAGACCAAAAATATTAGTGTGCTATCGTATTAGACTCTGGCGGAAATCCCTTGGTTGCAGAGGGATTGGGCGGTACAAAGCGACTCGCGGTCGTTCCTTTGTCATGCAAATAATTGTGTTCAACCAAACTGGCTCATGTTTCTTGGGGTCACTGCAAGGAACTCGATAGGCTGCAACCTAGGCCGACTTCCGAGTGAAGCTCTTCGTTTCTCATGACCAAATTATCGGATGGCCTTACTTCCATCCATACACCGGTTGCACAGTGCATACTGCGGGAGTCGTTCTTCTGACATGCTGGGTGCATGAAATAATGGTGCTGATAGGCTTGCCTCCTTTTTCACGTCATAAACAGGACGCTGAACACGCGCATTGCTCATGCAGTTTTTCTATCAAATATGAGTCACACTGCGAAGGCACTGGTGGTCGAACATATTAGGAAGAGCACCTCCTATCTAATGGATCAGTAAACCCTAAACGGATCAAACTCCAGTCTTTTCATAGGAATCAAGCAGCATAATCACATTGGTTAGTCAAAAGAATCTTCTCGTAACATTTAGTCTTATTATTAGTAAGTAAAGAAGGGCAGAGAACAGAGTACGCTCAGGAAGGTCTCTGTGAACAAATGAATATCGGTACTCCACGCTCTGTAGTCGTCTCGTGTCTGGAAACCAGTAAACCGCGTCTACGACTTTGTCTCTTTCGATCGGCCATTTGGGGAAGACAGGCTCCTCTCGAACTGCCAATCGGAGTGTTCGGTGCGACCTTGGTGACAGTAACAGAACGTAAGAAGCTTCCGTACGTCTGTCGATCTGCTATGCCAAGGTTCAGACCACTGCATTGTAAACTCCGCCCTTCAGAGCGAGAGTGATGTCGCGTCGGCGCTACAAGTGAGGAAGATTGGCAAAAGATTCTCGAGTTTTTCTTACGCGGTTCATGATCTCATCTTCTACTTCGCATACGCTGGTACAGCTGTCTAGGTACGTGAATTGTTGGAAGACGTTTTGCTGCTGCAGCCACCGTTAATCTGTCCAATGCTGCTAGGCACATTTGTGAGCTGTTACAAATCAGGGTAATGTCGTACTGCCCCAAGTCAAGAAATCATTCATCTTGGAGCACCTCCATACTTTCTGTATCAAGTCCGACGAACATAGTTCCCGGAACTTGGTTAACAACGAAGTTGCAATCTGTTGGTGATAACAAGCACTCTTTTTGAACACCGCTATAGATATTGAAAGGCGGCTACAGTTTGTCCTATGCTCCCACTCTACCCCAACTACGCGCGTTGAGCGCACTGATGATGTTTGCGTATTTACCGGATACCATTGATCAAACAGTCCCAAGGGGCACACGGGAATTGGAGTTATCTTTGACATCGAAGAACACGACCACCGTGGGTCACCACTATAAGTGGCGGTGCTCGAGCACTTGTGGTAAAGGGAAGATGTGGACAATGCAGCCTCGACTACGACGCCACTCAGTCTACTTTTCGCGAATCTTGCTTCCAAGAGCACCACTTAGTCTGTGAAGAACGACAGAAACTTAGAGGTGGTAGAGATCAGACTGAATCCCCTATAACTGCCGCATTCTGAACATGAGCTTAACTTTCAGATCGGGACGAAAACAGAGCAGCTGCAGTTGGTTGGGATAGTTTCCTGCTCACACAGTTTATTTAAGAGATCGTGCAAATCGTTCACAAGAGCGAGCCCCCCGAATTCGAAGAGGGCTGGATGAATTTTACCTAGTTCCATGGTCTTACTCAAGTTCAGCAGCCCGATCCCACTTTCAACATTTACGCAGTAGGGCGGATCCAGTGGGTAGCGCAAAGAGCAATTCGATCGCTATCCAATAGAGAATCTGGTACTTCCGTCCAATTAAATCTGTTTTCAAAGTGCCTAGCCCATCGTTTCGACCGTTTTGACAATTTGCAAATAGGCTGTCCCCTCTCATCGCATATGGTCACTCTAACACCAGGTTTCCTGTTGCCTGTTTTCCTTATCAAACTGAATAACCTCCGCAGCTCACCAAACACAGCTGCTGTTTCCATATCCGACACACGATGAGACCACCAGGCTTCGCGCTCTCTCTTCATGTTTGCATGCTTTTACCCTCACATCTTAGTGAGTCTCGTGTTTGCTCTAAGCTGAAATGTTTCAGCGAGCATCTAGAAGTTCCAGAGACTTCGTGGAAGCCCGATGTTCAAATCGGCAATTTGATTTGGCACATGAAAATATACCTGCTGCCAATAAGGTCTGGCGAACATGCGACTATTATCTAACTGTACTCTGTTGACGTTTAATCTACCCACATGCCAGTGTCATCATCATCAGTATACACGTTAGCTAGAGGTGGGAAACACCTCAGATACCGTGTCTCAATATATAAAAAAGAAAACAAATACAACAGTTGCATGTTAGCTGAGCTACCAGCAACGGATGGGCATCGTCCCGATAGGCTACCAGCCGGCTATTGTGCATCAAAAAATTGCTATGCAAAATTATATAAGGCTAAATAATGAGATCGTGGTTGGAGGAGGAGGCTAAGAGAGAGATGGGGTGGGACAAAGAAACTCACAACACGAACGCCACTGAGGTCGGCTCCTAGCCATATCAGCAAGTGTATCCAGCCAAACATGTTCATCGTCTTTCGGACCCCAACCAGGGACCTGAGACGCTCCAACCGAGGCCAGCTTCGAAGTGAGGGCCTTCATTCTTCTCGACCAAGTCATCGCTTGGCCACCCCTCCTCTTCTTCCATCCACACCCCCGGCGCGCAAACAACGCACGTCACGGAAGTCAGTGGACTGGCATGCTTAATACGTGGCCGAGCCATCGGAGCCTGGTGCGTGAAATAACGGTGCCGAGAGGTTCATTTCCTTTTCCTGTGCCGTAAACAACGCGTCGAACACGCTCGTTGCTAACTCGGTGTTCCCACGAGATGTAAGGTAAATTGCGAAGGCACCGGTAGTCGAATGTAACTAGCCTCTTCAGGTCCGCTGCTTTAAGGGGCCAGCTTTCACAACCGTACAGTAGACTCGAACGTACCGCTGCATTGTACATTCTACCCTTCAGAACAAGAGTGATGTCGCGCTGGCGCAATAAGTGGCGAAGGTTAGCAAAAGCGCCCCGAGCTTTTGTTATACGGTTCGTGATCTCATCTTCAATCCCACGGGCGCTGATACAACTTCCCAGGTAGTTGAATTTCTGAACGACTTCTAGCTGATTTCCACCAACGGTCAGCGTAGGGGGCGGTCCAGACCAATTTTGGAGGAACGCTTTGCACTTCGATGGTGCGAAGCAAAGCCCTAAGTGACGGGCAGCTAGTGCTAATCTGTCCAGTGCAGTTTGGCACGTTTGTGAGCTGTCACAGATTAGGGCAATATCATCAACATTCTCTAAGTCAAGAAGTCGTTCTCCTGGGACTAGCTCCACGCCTTCTAAGTCCTGGCCTGTTAGCGCGATTTCCATGACTTCGTCAATAGCGAAGTTGAAGAGGAAATGTGACAGCGGGCATCCTTGTCTCACGCTGCTGGAGATATTAAAGGGCGACGACAGCTTGCCGTAAGACCTCACTCTGCCTTAGCTACGCGCGTCTAATGATCGGATAATATTTACATATTTCTCAGGTACACCTTTCCTGAGTAGACAGTCCCCAAGTGCACATCTGTCCACCGAATGGAAGGCACCTTTGATGTCGAGGAACACGACTACTGTGCGTCGCCAATATATGTGACGGTGCTCCAACAACTGACGCAAAGTGAAGATGTGGTCAATGCAGCCACGACCTCGACGAAATCCAGCTTGTTCTTCACGAATCTGGCTTTCACGAGTGCCAGTCAGTCTGTGTAGAATGACAGAGGCGAGTAATTTGGACGCGATGGAGATCAGACTGATTTCTCCATGTTTGCCGCATTCCGATCGTGAGCCTCCCTTGAAAATTTGAGACTATGACGGGGCGGCTCCAGTCGGTTGGGACAGTCTCCTGCTCCCACAGTTTCACTAGTAATTCATGTAAAGCATCAACAAGAGTAGAGCTCCCGAATTTGAAGAGGGCTGGTGAAAGGTCATCAGGTCCCGCGGCTTTATTTAACTTCCGAACTCACGTTCGACTTCTGAGCGTGAGGGTGGATGCAAAGGGACAGTCCAAGGAGCGGGGCGATCAGTTGCCGGCGAGACATCTAACCATTCCGACTGATTAAATTGCCTTTTAACGTGCTCAGCCTAACGCTCCAAGCGTTTTGATAAGTTGTCGATAGGCTATTCACTCTCGTCCCGTATGGTTTCACTAACACCAGCTCTGCTGCCCGTTTCCCGTATCAGACGGAATAACTTACGATGGTTACCAAGAGCAGCGGCCATTTCTATCTCTGATGCACGATTAGACCACCAGGATTCGCGGTCTCTCTTCAGGCTAGCACGGAGTTTTGCCCGGAGCTCTTTGCGAGTTTCATTGTGTTCGCTTCCAGCCGGAATATGCCGGCGAGCATCGGTGAGTTCCAGAGACTGTGAACAGACCCAGTGTCCATGTTGGTGATTAGACATGCCACATGAGGATTTTCCTGCTGCTATTAAGGTCTGATGAATATGAGACCAGTGAGCTTTATTTGAATCCAGTGAGCGTTTTTTCAACTCCCATGACAGCGTGCTTTGCTAGGCATTCAGAACAGCTGGTTTCGCGAGTTGGCTGGTGTCTATGCGATCGCAACATCGTCTTGGGCGTCCTGCAAAACGCATCC